AGTATTAAATTACTTTTGTAGTATTTTCCACAATATCTTATTAATAGCCGAAGTAAGTCAAAGTCAAAGGTATATTCTCGTTTTACCTGACATAAAATTTGGTTCGCTTTGGTAGCATTTTGCCTGACTACATGTTAAACGGAAAAAAATAGTTGCGATTCTCCTGACCTGCTCAGGTAATAAATATGTATTTGCTGTAAAGAAATCTATTACTAACAAATGAATGAACATAAAATTAATCTAAAAAGTTATAGTTATTTAATTTGATATAAACAAAAAATATAGAGCACCCAGTATAGTAAAAAGTTGGTAAAATAAAAACTAAACATTTTTTCAAATTGACGAAGCGTAAAGCGAATAAAATATTTGAATTTAATTTTTTTTTATGTATCTCAATAACCGCCCAGGACAAAAAAAATATTTTTAAAAACTAAAATTCCTCCAGTTATAATTTTAACTATACATTACTTTAGAAAAGAACTTAGTATATTTATGAAAAAAGATTTAAAGGAAAAATTTTCAAGATGGTTTAGAAAATTTAAAAATAATTGATTTAAAAACACTGGTACAAAACGCTTAATAATGTCAATAAATGCAGTTTTTTTTTTTTTGTTCAAATCAAATCATCCTTATAAATCAAATTTTGCATGTATTTTGAAAATGGCCCTTATGATTAAAAGAGCACGCACCATCCAACTTATGGTCAGGCGAAACGATACCACAATTTGAGCTTGTCAGGTGAATCGGGAAATTTTAAGTGGTCAGGCGAAATGGGAACAGGCGAATCGGGCATAAATCAAGTCAAATACATAGGTATTATGTAAGTAGGTACTTACCATTTCATAAAATTTTTATTACAACACAATTAACACAAAATATTAAGCACTCCGTCGAATATTTGTTTTTGACCTTCACGTAGCCGAAGAAAATATTAACGATTTGGATTACGACGCCTCCTGCAGTTTTATTTATACTCGTGGTCTCGTGGTTCGTAAATGAGTCTTCAAGTTTGGACAGGAAAAATCGACAAGATCTAATATGAAACTTACTCGTCGTACAATATTCGGGTCTGGACAGGAAAAACGTAGTTCGTAGAGTATTCAAGTCTGTACAGGAAAAATCGACAAGATCTAATTTGAAACTTACTCGTCGTTCGTACAGTATTCTAGTCTGGACAGGAAAAATCGACAAGTTTATACTTTATACGAGTATTCATGGCATTGCATGTTGCACACAGAATTAACTAACCTATTGATTTTATTATATGTATTTAATAATTAATGCTTATTGAATAGCTATTTGATTTCAAAAATAGATATGTTTTCTGTCACAATAGGAATAGGTCAATACATATATCAACGAACATAAACTTCGATAACATTATTGATTATATTATCATGAATTGAGATAAAAACATTTTTGATTTCTTTACTGTCTAGTTCATTGGAATCGTTAGAAAAATAAAAAATACGAATTGTATACAGACCTCCGGTTTGGCGCCCCTTTAGAGTTGCGCCCGCGTGCGGTGTACGCGTTGCACGCACAGTTGCGGGGGCCCTGGGTACTATCCCACCTTTTATGTAATTTTTATGAATACCTCTTTTTGTTTATTGTCAGTAACCTTTTTATTTATTTATTTGTATTTAAATTAGAAGAATAATTTAAAGAAATGAATCTTAGGAAAATAATTAATTTCCTTTAAATTGCATACAATCTTCGACTGAGATTGTTAATTTATTATAAAAAATATTGATATGTTATTATAATTGGAGCTCGGATTTATAGGCAACAAAATTTAAAGAAAAAGGCTCTTATATAGGCAAATAGTTTTATGGAAAAAAGGCAGCATATTGGCAATATAGGCAAATGCCTTTAACAATATAATTATTAATAGTAAGTTATTATTTATTATTTGAAGTGAATTAACCTAAGGAAAATATATTACGGCCTCTTGGGTCTATTGTATTCTCCTGCTTTCCCCGTATTCAGGTACTATCTTTGTAATAGTCCTGGGTCTTTGGTTAGTTTTATAGTCTATTTTGATGTATGAGAGAGTATTAAAATAATAAAGCGTTCGTAATCCATAGGCGTACCACTTCTTTTAGTAGACAGTTAAAATATTTTTTGAAGTTATTCCTCGAGTATACACTTATATTTTCACCTAATTAACCTGCTTATAACTTCTAAACAGCTGAAGGTAAAAAAGTGCAATTTTTTCTAAAATGTTTTATTTTTCCACAAGGTATGTTAAGAACATTGTGTCAAGCGGGTTATGTAGGTATAAGGGTTTAAACTTTGACTTTTAAACAACGTTACGTTCATAAATAATAATTTTAATATAAAAACTACTTCTTACCTACAAATCCAAATCAGAATCGAAATCAGAAGATGAACTGTCGCAACCAATATTTACAATGAGTGGTTCGATCATTTCATCAGTAATATTTTCCAACTTCCACATTTTCTCTTCTTCTTTAATCGTATGATTTACTGCCTTTTCCCAGTTTTCAGGCTTCACATTATTTACAGCCTCCAAAAACAACTGTTTAACATCACTCATTTTAAAAGAATTATTTTTTCTTGAAACTTCTCCCTTTATCTGTGCCCTATCAGTTCAATCGGGTTTACTTCGCAATGATATGTTGGTGATCTAACCACCGTCATCCAACGATTTTTTGCAATTTCATCAATTTCATATTTTGTGAATTTCTCTTTATGAAGGAAACACAAATGATACAGTTCTTTTCTCACAGAACCGGGATGGAACTTAATATTCTTTGAATTTAGCCAATTCTGTAAATCTTTTTTTAACCACTTGGTTGTGGGCATTTTTTCTATAAGTCTCGAGTGATAACTTGCATTATCCATTACTATTATACAGTTCTGAGGAAGAAGATCTATAATTTGTTCGAACCACTCTTTAAAGACATCAGCATTCATGTCCTCATGGTAGTCACCGGTACGAGTAGATTCAAAAGTCAATAAACCACCTTTAAGAAAACCGTTTGAACTACCGATGTGTACTGTTATTAGTCTGCGCCCCTTTCCTGATGGTGGATTTAAACCAGTAGATAAATTATTTAAAAAAGCCTGTCTTTGACTTGTAACAGTTTCATCTTGCCAAAATTTATTTGGTTTATGTCCCTCGTTGATCCATGTTTCATCTAAATAAAATATATTTCTTCTTTGGTTTCTCATTTCTTTTATAGTCCTTAGGTAATTTCTTCTCCATACTACAATATCGCTTCTTTCTATTAAAATAGACTTTCTGGAATGCTTTTTTCCATAGAAAACCTATTTCTTTTAAAAGTTTCCATAGTGTGCTTCATCTCATTTCAGGGTAATCCTTATCATCTCGAACCGTGGCAAGAACTGTGTCTACTGTGGGAAATTCTTTTCTAAAGAAGAACGCATGCACTTTCCTTCGAAGTCTTTCTTTCAAAAGATTTTCTAATTGAAATTTTGGTTTTCCTGGAGCTTTACGTGCTGTTTGAAACTCGCCACATTTCTCTTCTTTAACAACTCTGTAAATCGTAGATTTCCCAACACCAAGCGTACTACTAACTAATTCCACTGTGTCATCAACATTTTTACATAAATGTTTATTTGTAAATGATTTAAAACAATTAAATATTGTTTTTTCATTAACTGTTAAAGGACCGATTTTTTGTCGTTTACGCGGCCCTTCCAAATTTTCCATGATCACACTAGAATTCACACTGTACCTTGCAAGTTGCAACTAAACGACATTTAGTAAACTGTCAAGAATACACAACTTGGACCTCCTTACTAAATGGAAAACCAAAATCGCATTTTCGGTGAAATTTGTTGGGAAGGTATTTATCTACTTATAATTCGATTACTGTAAGAATTTCTTGGAATTAAAATAAAACAAAATTGGTAAATAGGTACTTATTGAAAATAATCTTAAGATTCGGCTATGTAATCTTCAATACACAGGGCTTTTGGCCTGTCCAAACCTTTTTCTATTGTTCTCTACAGCTTATGTTTATAAAGGACCAATAAAAAACCCAAAACTTGTAATAGCTCAGGTACATTTATTACAATTTTAGGAAATATTTAGATTATTCTGTAAAAATATTTAAAATGACCGTACTAAGTTTTGCATTAGAAATACTGTTTTATTACTCTCTCGTACATAAAAATAGACATAATAAGTTCCGTACCAAGTGTTCCTGGGGCGTTGTTTCCGGTTCTAGGCCGATAAATTGCGTACTGCATTTTTTATGAATATTTTTCACCAATATCACTAGCAAAAAACAAAATTTACAACTTAAAATAATACAAATATACGCATGAAATGTTATTGATCACTATAAACGACTGCAACGTGCCTTTGTCATTTGTTATTCACTTCGTGCCAACTCTACTAACTCTACGAATGACGTCAGCACCGCCATGACACCATGCGCGATACCATCCCAGGGTCTTAACCAATGCTATTTCAAAATCAATGAAATCTGTTATTTTATCGGAGCCTAAAAGATGTTCTACAAGTTGCTTATTGAGGGAACAAATTAAATTAATTTTCTAAAAAGAGCCATTCTACTTCAAACTTGTATGACGGTAACTCTTTAATTAGCTCGGAAACTAAATCATAGGCTCGTTCAGATGCCTTGCGTTGCAATTCCAATGATTTTCAATTTTTTTTTTTTTTCATGTCTGTTTGAGTGGACCTAACTGGTGATCAGATTTTCTTTATATAGGTCCCCAAATCAGACAATAACCCAAAGAAACTTAGATTCAAATTGACACGACTATTTTTTGATTATTATTAAAAATTACACTTTGACATATTTTCAAAGGTAACTAAACATTATTTAACAAAAACAGCATACATTTTCTTCAACTATATTGACATAAACCCAGAACAAAAGAGAATATACGAGTATTTTTAACCCTGTATTTGCATATTATAAAAAAGCCACATGGTGATTTTGTTTCTAAATTTGAATTCACATCAATCAAAAATATTTTAGATTCTTCTTCACCATCCAGCCGAAGTGCCCCGAGTATCCAGGCAGTTCTTCAGAGCTCCTTTGGACCAAGAAGTCGTAGTTTCAGTTCGACCTGATATGATGACGACATCAGAAGGTTTACTTAGTTATAATCCTCAAAGGCGACAGTGCTACTTTCCGTCAGAGCGATACTTGTCGTTCTACCAGAGTTATACGCAACAAAACTGTCAAATAGAATGTTTAACTAATTTTACTCTAGCTAAGTGTGGCTGTGTTGCTTATCATATGCCTCGTAAGCGTATAATAACTAAAAGTTTTTTAAATGTTCTTATTTTTTTTTTTTGTTTTTTTTTAGGTGAAAAGCACACTAAAATATGTGGTTCAGGCAGCCAGGTGTGCATGTTTCAAGCTCAAAGTAAGTTGATTTTATTCAATTAGTCAACACAAGTTAATTAACTCTAGTTTTATTAAACGAAATTATAATTTAACCCACGCGAATTGCAAGGATGCCATTTTTATTATTTTTGCAAATCACGTTTATTTTTTATATTTTTACTTTTGATTTTAAAAGATATATTTAATGTTTTACACCATTCATTGCTATCTTATTATTTATTGTTCTGATTTTTAATTTTAATTTTTAGCTAAATTGTTAGAACTTGAAGTGGATTCAGGTTTGAAAAACATGTATTATGCCCTTAACCAATCTATATCAACTTGTGATTGTCTTCCGGCATGTACTTCTCTAACTTATAACGCCGAATTTTCTCAAGCCAAATTCGAATGGAAAAAATTGTTTCAAGCCTACAGAGTTAACATCAGCGGTGAATTTCCAGGGTAATAATATTTTTTTTAATAATGTACAGGGTGTTTCAGAATAAAGTACCGTAAACTGGGCACTGGGAAACCAGTTTTCATTCTACAGGGTGATAAAAAGTAAATTTAATAAATACATAATTCATTATAAAAATATGTACTTGTTAGTTAATCACCATTATTAATTAATACACTTTGTTTAGATAAATTACGACAACACATTGGCGTAGAATCAAGGGCTAAGAAAACACTTTTTATCCAAACTTAAGTTTATTAGTTATTTTTCTCGCAATTTGTCCCAAAAAAGGGAATCTTATTTGATCTTTGTAGAATATTCCATTTTAGATTTTTTTTAGTTTTAGTCCTACTCACACATGAAAACTATATACATTATGAAATTCCAAAATAACAAATTATCATTAAGGGCCGATTTATTAATCAATATTATAAGATCCATTAACTAATAGGACCAATATGCCCTTGATAAAATTGTACGTAGGTTTCATGTTTGACTTTGACTATGACTAAAACTAAAAAATCTCGGAAATGGAAAGTTTTACCAACAGAGATCAACCAAGAGTCCCTTTATTGTGACAAATAGCGTGAGAAATATTTATTAATCTCAACGTATATATAGGGTATTCAAAAAGTTTATGTTAAAATTGTTTTCTTAGCCCTTGATTCTATGCCAATGAGTTATCGTAATTTATAAAAATAATGGCGATAATCGAATATGTACATATTTTTAGATTAAAATCTTTACCTACCTTAAGGACAGTTCTTTATAAAATTATGTAATTATGAAATTCGGATTATCACCCTGGGGCGTTTACGGGAAAATTATATTAGGCTTCTCTTAATAATTAGTTAAGCTCTATAAGTTTCCCTGTTTACTGTAGTTTATTCTGAATGGTTTATATACCGTAAGTACCTGGTAATATTTAAAAATACTTTTCCTACGACCACTTAGGAAAGTGACACATATCACACTATATAGACCTATGGAAAGTGCCCTATATCACACGCGTATGAATAAGAATTTACTTTCCACCCAAGTGAGAATATGCTACTTTCCGCAGTAGCTGTCAGAAAATGTCAAACACATAATTTCTATTTTGATCTATGTAATGTCCATATTAATACTAAAATCGATATGATTGTTAAATTATTGTAAATTAGATCCTAGATATTTATCTTTAACAATTATTTTTAAAATAATTTTAAAATAACTAAGATATATTTGCTTTTTATTCTGGTTAAACACATAAGCGATTAGATCAATCAATTACCGTAAGGCCTGTTAGCTCAGTTGGTTAGAGCATCAACTTTGCAATTTGAGATCGTCCAACGACCGCGATCGAATCCTGGCTGTGCCAGAATTTTTTTTTTATTTTTTTTTTTATTTTTTTTTATTTGTTTAGAAATTATGAAAATTTAATAAATACGATTATTGTTGAATATTTTTTAAAATACATTTTAATTATTATAATAATCTGGTTTTACATTTTTTGATGAAATTATTTTGTGGTCGTAGGAAAAATATTGTACATCACTTGTGTGAAAAGTGATTTTCCACACTCGTGTGATAGTCGCACTCGGCTTACGCCTCGTGCGACAATATTTCCCACTCGTGTGAAAAATGTCACTTTCCACACTCGTAATGTAATATACTATTTCATCTGACAATTTTGACTCTTATTTCGATAATAATAGCCATTCGGCGACCAAGTATATTTAAACCAATTTTAAAAACGAATAACCTAATAGTATTTAAAATATTTGATATTCACTCCATGCGTGTCAGCAGCGCTTATCATTTTTGTACTAATGGACTATTTTTGCGTGTACTTACAATACATTTTTTAATAGAATTCGTAATTAAAAAGTATATATGTTAGTTTAAACAAAAGTATATGGATTTGTAAAACAAGTGAAATATTAATTTATTATTATTGTATATTCTTATCGCTTAAACTAAAACAACTGAGTAAAATAAATAAAAATCAATAATAAAATATAGGCAGACAACAGTATTTACAGGAAAATGTATGAGAAGTTGCCTAAGTCTATTAAGTTGTCTTTGAAGAATTAACCTATTCTGTTAAAATAAAAAAATACCATTATAGACCAGAGCATACTGGCGCATTTGTTTGCAAAATTGTTTTAATTCGTAATTTTCTTTTAAATGTCCGGAAGGCTTTCCTGATTACAAAAGTGTAAGATGACACTCGATATCTGTTGATGAAAAATTAATTAAGCCAGAAAAATTGCATTTTTGCATTGAATTAATTTTTTTTATATTCTTTAGGATATTTCGAATAAAAAAAGTCCTTACGCCCATCATCGTATCTTTAACCCTTTAGTTGTTATGAATGTTTTAAAATCCGAAATTGACGAAACTTCTAATTTTCTTGAATTAATTAATATACCTTAAAATTTAAAATGCTATAATTTTAAATGTTTTACCAAATATTCAAACTATAATAAACAAAAAAACCTAAATAAATTTTAAAAATTTTGTTTGTTGTTATGTTTTTTTTACGTTATAACAATATGCTTCCTACGCGCGTGTACTTTTAGAGAGAAGTACTTCTATCTCACTTCCAACTCAATGCATAAGATGGGTAAGAAAAAGCCCGATGACGCGCTAAATCAATTTTTTGCTGTTTTTCAGCGGTAATAAGTTTAAAAAAATTATTATTAACATTTTTCATAACACTTTGTTATATTTGCCGATTAATAGTTTTGTATCGTGATTTTTTTACTTTTTTAGATACTTTCAATAACTTTTTTATTCATTGAAGTTAATAGAAATGTTTCATCCACAAAAAAAAATCATTGCCAAGAGCTGTCTAAGAAATAAATTTTTCTCACTTTTTTTCCAATAAGATAAAAGAAGACAAACATACCTGCCGTAATTCAAGGGAAATTTCTACCTGTTACGATGAGCATAGTTGACTCACCTGGTTTTTATTTTAAAACAGAGTACGCAATGTATATGTATTCAATTTTTTCTATGGTTGTTAATTCTTTTCCACTATGATTATTTAATAGTAATATTCATTTATTAAGAAAATTTTTACATAAAATTATAGTTTGTACATCTAAATAGTTTTTACATGAAATTGATTTTGGCAACATTCAATTAAACATCCGCATAATGCCACACACGTCATGTTTAGTTTTTGACACGAACAAGCTTTCGTTGCACAATTTTTTTTACAGTTGCACGGTTTTGCTAAGTCTTCAGGTAATGGCGGTTTTGTTAAATACAGTGGCTTTTTTTGGTTATCACAGAAAACATAACCAAAACCAGAGAAATCTAAAGATCACAACAAGTGAATTTGACCTTTTTGTCGTATTGAAAAAAAAGGTTGAAAAAGATTTTACTTCTCAGGCAGTATTTGACAATAATTTTTTCGTGAATAAAAATAAATGTTAAAAATAAATGTTTCTGTTAATAAAAAAGTTATCAAAAGTATCTAAAAAAGTAAAAAAAATCACATGATACAAAACTATTAATCGGCAAGTATAACAAAGTGTTTTTTTAAACTCATTACCTCTGAAAAACAGCAAAAAATTGATTCAGCGCATCATCGGGCTTTCTCTTACCCATCTTATACATTAAGTTGGAAGTGAGATAGATGTACTTCTCTCTAAAAGTACACGCGCGTAGGAAGCATATTGTTATAACGTAAAAAAAAATATAACAACAAGCAAAACTTTGAAAATTTATTTAGGTTATTTTGTTTATTATAGTTTGAATATTTGATAAAAAATTTAAAATTATAGCATTTTAAATTTTAAGGTATATTATTTAATTCAAGAAAATTAGAATTTTCGTCAATTTCGGATGCATTTTTTCTGGCTTAATTAATTTTTCGTTGTTTAAACAATAACATCAACAGATATCGAGTGTCATCTTACACTTTTATAATCAGGAAAGCTTTCCGGACATTTAAAAAAAATGTACGAATTAAAACAATTTTGCAAACGAATGCGCCACTATGCCCTGCACTATTAAATAATAGCGTGAAGTGAAAATATATAAACAGAAGGATTGTTATTTATATTTTTATTTTTGTTCGAAAGAAAACATAGAATGAATGATTAAAACTGGTTTCCCATCAGTAAGTCACAAAATTGCATTCCAGCCACATACAATAATCAAAAGCAGAAATCCAGTTCTTGCTGAACATTTAAGATTAAAGGGATGTTGAAGAACATCGTAAAATGATAATTTATTCTTTATTTAAAACATTTTAAGTTTCTAATGTCTACTATTTCCAGTATTATTATTACAAAAATAAAGGTAATTTTTCTTCTTATTGTACACTTATCCATTTATTTATTTATTTATTTATTTGCTTTAATTTCCACTTTTTTATAATTTACACTGTTTTTTTGCTAGTATTTTTATAATTTTCAACACAGCAACTCCGGTTGCCTATTGTATTGTTTTTATTGTCATGGGAATTCCTAATCCGTCCCTGTAGTGTGCGACCTTCAGCCTACCACTCGACTCAAGGAACGTCTAAATGCTGACCAAATGGAAAAACGGTGTTGCCAGATTTCCGACAAAGAAATGTCATCCGTCAACGCATCTTTAAGTAATTAGGCGGGTATTTTTAAATATCCATGAATCTCGTGAGTTAATCATTTTTCTTATTTCAATTAGTGTTCTCAATTTGGATATTTTTTAGTTGTAGTTATACTTTTGAGTTAAATGTGTTATATTTTTGTTCATCAATTATTTAGATATACAGGATGTTTCAACGAAAATGAACCCAAGAAAAACATATTTTTTTTTTTAACACGATTGTTTGTTTTCTGAAAAAATTATTAATATCCAGCCCAGTTTTAACCGTCTAGAATAAGTAGTCAATCACTTTTTTTTAATATTATGCATGAGGTAGCGTCTAGAGCAGCAATACTCAACATACGGCTAAGCGTTTTATATGCGACCCAAAACGCAATTTTTAGGAAGATGCTTTTTAAAACTATGAATTTCTAAATTTCAG